GTTGGGAATGAGGGGTTGGGATGTGGAGGTTGGGAATGAGGGGTTGGGATGTGCCCAGCACGGCTGAGTGTCCCCTGTCGTGGCCCAGGTGACGGCGTGCCCCTGAGCGTGTCCATGCCGAGCCGCATCCACGCCGTGCCCGTGACACTGGGAGGCCAGCAGGGCACGGTGGCAGCCAGGACAGGCACGCTGGAGCAGCTGAGGGAGAGGCTGGAGGCAGGAGAGCCCCCAGAGAAGAAGGTGACGAGGATGACGGAGGAGGAGCAGCGGCTGGTGCAGCAGGCACTGCAGCGCAACCTGCTCAGCATGGCCCGCCAGATCCCCATGAAAATCAAAATCAACGGCAAAGGTGAGGCCAGAAATCCTCAGGGAAAATGTCCCAGCCTGCAATGTCACACACACACACACACACCTGGGTCACCTCTGGCGGGCACAGGGCATGGAGGTGTTGAAGTTTGTTGGGTTTTCCTGCTGGGTTTATTGCCCAGCTCATCCAAATCCTGAAGAACTTTTGCCACCTTTGCTGGTCAAGTTTGGCACAGTTGGGAAGAAAGGGAAGGGCTGTTCTTGCTCCAGCTGTGCTGGTTGGAGATGTTTGGCCACAAAAATGGATGGGAAAGGTCAAAGCAGGTTCCTCCAAAGCAGCAGCTGGGATTGGGATTGGGATTCCCAGTTCCTGGCAGCTCTGCATCCCCCTAAATTTCACATCAAAACCAAAAGGGCCAGGGAAAGGGAACACAGATTTTATCCAGGAATGTTCCCTCTCACCTCCCTTTGCTTTCACCCTGAACTTCCTAAACCCAAATGCTGGGAGCAATTGCAGTGCCTACAAACAGGAACATCCCTGAGGATTTAGGGATAGCATTCCCACCTCTGTAGGGGCTGTCTTGTCTTCTGTGCCCTCCTTTTGCCCCCTGCACTGTAAGAACCAGATGGAGCCTTGGGAGCTGCTCTCAGAGGTGGTTTTGATAAGCTCAGCATGGCTTGATGACATCATTTAGGTTCAGCATTAATAATGTGGAGTTTATAGGGGGATGGCATTGCTGCCCTCGGTGAAGGAGCAATCCCAAAATCCAGGCTCGCCCTCCTGGAGGTTCAGGAGCTCCTGGCAGAGTTGGATGTTCAGCTCTCCTCAGACACGGCTGCCCATCACTGCCCAGGCTGAGGAAATGGAGGAAAATCCTGATTTTCAGGGAGGTTTTCCCTCCCTCCCTCCAGTGGCCGCTGGAGCTGCTGCAGCCCGAGCAAAATCCAGTTTAAATCTGGGTGTGGCGCCAGCCCTTCCTTGGGAGGGAATTTGGCCCTCGGGGAGAGATTTCCAACCTCCCCAAAGCCCTTCGGCACCTTTGCAGCCGTGGCAGGGGATGGTTTGAGTTGGGAGCGAGCTCAAAGCCACTCCCAAGGGACAGGGACACTTCCCCTATCCCAGGGTGCTCCAAGCCCCGTCCAGCCTGGCCTTGGGCATTCCAGGGATCCAGGACATTGTGTGGGGACACAAGCAGGGAATGGGGTGGTGTCCCTCTAACTCTGCCTTTCCTGGGACAAGACAAGGGTGACTCGGCAGCAGCGCTGAACCTGTCCCCAAACGGCATCGGCAGCATCAACATGTCTGTGGAGATCAATGGCACCACCTATGCTGGTGAGAGAGCCCTGGGAACGGGAGAGAGACCCTGGGAATGGGAGAGATCCCCTGGGAACGGGAGAGACCCCCTGGGAACGGGATAGACCCCTGGAAAACGGGAGAGACCCCTGGGAACGGGAGAGAGACCCTGGGAATGGGAGAGACCCTCTGGGAATGGGAGAGACCCTCTGGGAATGGGAGAGAGCCCTGGGAACGGGAGAGACCCCCTGGGAACGGGAGAGAGGCCTTGGGAATGGGAAAAACCCCTGGGAAACGGGACCCGAGACCCCCTGGGAACGGGAGAGAGACCCTGGGAACGGGGAAATCCCTGCTGGTGACAGGGAAATCCCTCCTGGGTATGGTAGAGACCTGCTGGGAACACGGAGAGATCTGCTGGGCACGGGGAAATCCCTGCTGGGGGTTGGGAATGGGTGGGATGGGGGCGGTCGCTGCCGAAGGACAGCAGGAGGTGGTTGTTGGTCGCTGGGCTGGGCCTCTCCCTGCTGTCAGTGCTTTACAAAATGAGGGAAGGGCTTTGAAATCTCTGTGGAAGAGTTGATAGGATTGTCCCTGTTCTCCTGAGGAGGGGCAGGAATTGTCCCCTGGGGCAGTTCCCGTGGGTTGGGCAAACCCCAGAAGGGAAGCCTGGCTCTGCCTGACCCTAACCCCAATGGCAGAACCCATTTGGGGATCTGTTTCCTGTAGGGACAGCACCCCTGGGTGCCAGACAGCCCTGCCCTGCTGAGCACAGGGAATGGGATCCTGGGGTGGGGAATGGGATCCTGGGAGTGGGGATGGGATCCCGGGGGTGGGGATGGGATCCCGGGGTGGGGATGGGATCCCGGGG